ATATTGACTTTTAATCCTATTATTATTTTGGTTTTTGGGTCACACACAGAGGTGCTCAGGACTTATCCCTGGCTCTACACTCAGGGATCACTCCTGGCAGGAATCAGGGGACCATATGGGATGATAGGTATTAAATCTTGGTTAGTTATGTCCAAGGCATGTGTTCTACCTGCTGTATCATTTATCTAGCCACAAGAATGAATTTTAAAAAGACATTTCATTGCCTCCAAGAGGCTAATTGTACATAAAAATATATAAGCTGATTCAATGTTGAATTGATTTTAAGGTCTATTATAGCTGATGTAAATGCCACTAAAATAGTGATGCCTAATCACATAAGAGAAAATAAGCATCATTGTGAACTTCGAGGAGAATGAACAAGGAAGCCATGTTAAAAAAAGCAGACAAAATACAGGGTTACAGAGATAGTACAAGAAGTTAAGGTGCTTGACTGGCATATGGCTGACAATTTGGCTTTGATTTTGTTTTGCTTGAGGGCCACATCGGGAAGTGTTCCGGTCTTATATTTGGCTCTGTGCTCAGACCCCTCTGGTGTTCAGGGAACTATATCAGGTATAAGGCATTGAGCCAGGAAAATGCCTTAACACCAGTAAGCTCTCTCCAGCCCCAGACCCCAGTTTGAGCCCCTACACCACCCTCTGAGCTAGGAGTAACTACTGAGCACCACCAAATACCATATGCTGAATAAATATAACCCAAACTACAATGCAAAAAGACATGTTTTTAATTAAAGCTGACATAAATAGCACAAGTCACATGAAATTTAGCAATCTTAAGTTTTTAGAGAAGATGACTCAAAGAATATATTGGTTAGGGTGATTCTAGACTTTTGTAATAAAAATAAATCCCAGTGCCAGAGATGTGGTTCAGTGTTAGAGCACTTACCTTGCATATGTGAGGCCTGGATTGCAGTGAACACTGCAAATAATAGCAATACTGATAATAATGGTAGTGGTAATAATAAATCCCAACATTTCCATGACATAACACAGTAATTTCTTACTGACTTAACGGTAGAATGTAGACTCTTCCGGTTGTAGTGACTCAATAATTTGCTTCTGTCTTATGCCTCAAACATCCACATAGGATCCTAGAGTCCCCTGCTTCCAGCCATCAGAGGAAAAAAGAAAAGAGTGAAGAGTGGGAGTATCCTATTTCTCAGAGGTCCCACCCAAGAAGTTGCATAGACTATACCAACTCACATGACTCTCATTAGATGCAAAGGATCCTGGGAAATGTACTCTCTGCTTTGCAGTGACCTCTCAGGAACAATTTCACATCATGCAAGAGGAAAAAGAATTCTTTGGAATGAATTGGCTAGCCACCTCTGACTCAGAGACAAAGAACAGCAATTATAGTCAATCAGGCACATTCGTCTAAGAGTTCATTGCAAGGAATAAAGGCAGATGCAACTAGGATATGCATTAGCTGAGGTGGTCTAAAGTTGAGGTAGAGTCGAAGGAGCAGCTACAATTGTTAGGGGGAAGAAAAGACATACATTCATTTATTTCTTAAGAGTTGGTCGAAGGGATAATAGAAAAAGGAACAACAAATTCACGGGCTAAAGGAGTGAAAATAACAACATAACCTACTTTTATACCCATCCCCCAAAGAGACACAGGAAGAGAAGGGGAAAAGCAGGAGATTAAAAAAAAACAGGACAAAGTTTGGGGCCAGAGCAGTAGTACAATGGGTAGGGTACTTGCCATGCATTGCGCAGATCTGGGTTCAATCCCTGCCTCCTTATATGGTCCCCTGACCCATCAGGAGTGATCTCTGAATTCAGAGCCAGTAGTAAGTCCTGAGCACTTCTGAGTGTGGCCCTCCAAGTATGAAACAATACACACACATACACAAAAACTGGACAGAGTTTGGGGCTGGAGAGATAGTACACAGGATAGGGAGTTTGCTTTTCACTTGTATTGGCAGAATATACCATGCATGTGCAAGATCTTGAGTTAGATTCCCAGAGCAGTATAATATGCTGCCTTCCAGTACCACTGGGTGAAGTCATTAAAAACATTTTGGGGCCAGAGAGATAATACAGGGGATTAAGTTACTTACTTTATACACAGCCAACACTGGTTTGATCCCTGGCACAACCGATGGTCCCCCAGGCTCCACCAGGATATATCCCTGAGCTCAAAGTCTAGGAGCAACTACTGAGCACCTTTGGGTGTGGCCCCAAACAAAAAATTACTTAGCTAGTTTAAAAGTAAAGTAAAGTAAAGGCCCTCCCGTTGATCGTCGATTTGCTCGAGCGGGCCCAGTAACATCTCCATTGGAGACTTTGTTGTTACTGTGTCTGGCATATCGAATGCTCTCGGTAGCTTGCCAGGCTCTCCGAGAGGGGCGGAGGAATCGAACTCGGGTCGGCCATGTTTAATTAAATATAATTTTACTTATGAATAAAACAAATAAATAAATAATAAAGGTTTAATTCAGGAATCTTCTTTGCGATGTAGCACTGAGAGAAAGAAGTTTTATTACTTTTTAAAGGAGACTGGACAGGTGCTTGCTTTGGCAGCACATATACTAAAAAAAAAGGAGACTGGACGGGTCTGAGCAATATCACCACGTGGAATAGAAACGTCACAAAAACCCGTCACATACAGAAAATGCACAAATTCACTGTGTCAAAGATCTGCTAGCACATTCTCAGACTACAATAATATAACATTAAAATATACAGCAAGAATGGAAATAAGTCATAAACAGCAATGTAGAATATTTAAGACTCTCATGTTACTCCAATGTCAAGGAGGAAATGTAATACTGAATGATGCAGTATTTTAAAATGAATATATAAATAAATAATTCAATAGTACATGGAATGCTGCTAAGCAGAATTTAAAGGAGAATTTACCACACTAAATGCCTATATTAATATGTGAGAAAAAGTGATGGGTGAAGAATGAACTACATTTAAATCCCTTTGAAAGGGAATGACTCAGTCGCCTAATACAGAGCAATAGAAACTTCAAATAAAAATAAGCAAAACAGAAAAGATGGGGGAAAAAGCTATTTGGTAAACAAACCAAGACTTATTGTTTCTTTGAAAATTAAACAGGTGTTTTGGTTGCCAAGGAAGAAAAACATCCACCAGTAAAGTAGAATCCATCAGAGATGAGAAAAGCAATTGACAATCAATGGAGAAATTTAAAACACTTGTGATTACCTGTCCTTCTTTGCTGCTATGATAGCATCTTCTGTTTATTTCTATTGAAGTGTTAATTGTGCTATAAACTTTATGTATTTATTTGTCTGTCTCATAGTATTAGTCAGACTCCTAGCAGGAAACAGATTGTATTCTCCAAAGGGTTTTACTGAAAAGTCTAATAGACTCTTTGCAACTGTACATACAGGGAGTAAAGTAAAGTAAAGGCCCTCCCGTTGATCATCGATTTGCTCGAGTGGGCCCAGTAACGTCTCCATTGGAGACTTTGTTGTTACTGTGTTTGACATATCAAATACGTCACAGGGAGCTTGCCAGGCACTGCTGTGCGGGCGAGATACTCTCGGTAGCTTGCCGGGCTCTCCGAGAGGGGTGGAGGAATCGAACTCGGGTCAGCCATGTTGGCTGCGTGCAAGGCAAACGCCCACAAGCAATGCTGAAGTATACCTGGGCAACTTACGCTCACTAGAGCAGCTGCATACAGGGTGATAAAATAGAATAGGGCTAGAGATGGGTGGCAATATTAGATAAGGTTATTAAGGATGCCTTCTCTGGGGACGTCTGAGCTGAACTCTGATTATCCTACAAATGGAGTGGGCTGGAAATATAGTACAGGAGGTAAAGCACTTGCCTTGCACGTGGTGATAGTGGTTGTATCCTCATTCAAATCCCCAGCGCCACATATGTTTTTCTGAGCACCACCAGAGGTCACTCCTGAACATAGCCAGGAATAGACCCTTAGCACCACTGGGTGTGACCCTTCCTAAAATGATGATGCTGAGAAGGCTTTTTTTTGTTGTTGTTTTGGGTCACACCCAGCGATGCACAGGGGTTACTCCTGGCTCATGCACTCAGGAATTACTCCTGGCAGTGCTTGGGGAACAATATGGGATGCTGGGAATCAAACCTGTGTCGGCCACGTGCAGGGCAAATGCCCTACCAGCTATGCTATCGCTCCAGTCCCAAGAAGGCATTTTTTAAAGATTAAAACTTCCACTATAAATTTTCTCTTTTGTGGAACATATAAACAGCTGAAACCGGGAACCCGGGGCACAAGAGACATTCTATTACAAATGTAAATCGGACAAGGCTGTCTCTCCCATTAATCTTAATTAACTTGCAATGAAAAGAGATTGAAGTAGAGAAAGAGTTGAATCATACGTATGTGGAAGAAAGAAATGAACATATCACTCCTCTAAAACGACAAAATTTTATATGAGAAATTTAGAGGCATCAAGATAAAATTCATTAAAAATTAGAAATATGTTCATCAAAGCCATATGAAAAAGACTAATGACAAAAATCAGTTGCATTCCCCTTGAGTGAAGCAAAAGTAGACAATATAATCACAACAACCATCCTGTTATTTGTCGATTGCCTCGAGCAGGCCCCAGTAACATCTCCTTCGTCCTAGCCCTGAGATTTTTTTAAAAAGTGCCATATTCAAGGCTCTTTCAGAGTTAGGAGAATGAGACCCTTCATTGTTACTGGTATTTGGCATATTGGGTACGCCACGGGGAGTTTGCCAGACTCTGCCGTGTGGGCAGGTTACATTCGGTAGCCTGCCAGTTTGTCCAAAGTAGGAATGAGATGATAAGATGTCGCAAGGCCGCTGAGCATCCTCCACCCAGATCCTCCAAATTCCAGTAGGTGGGGGTCACACCCACCAACTGGCCCTCTGGCACCGTGTAATCCCATCAACGGTCAAGACTCAGACAATATAATGATCAAAGATATTCACAATAATGACAAAATATAAAAAATTTGGGTCCCTGGCCACCTGGACGTGGCGCAGCCTGGCACCATGAAGATCTGGACGTCGGAGCACATCTTCGACCACTCGTGGGAGACGGTGCTGATGGTGCCCATGCAGAAGTACCACAACCCCATGAATCCCAGCGTGGTGGGCGTGGACATGCTTGACAGATACGTGGACACCACAGGGAAGCTGCATAGCCTACGGCTGCTCAGCACCGAGTGGGGCCTGCCGGTCGTCGTCAAAGCCATTATTGGCGTGTCGAGAACCAAAACATACGTACAGGAGCATTCTGTGGTCGACCCCGCGGAGAAGACAATGGAGCTGAAATCCACTAATATTTCATTTACAAATCTGGTGTCGATAGATGAAAGACATATACAAACCACATCCTTAGAATCCAGAGAAAACTGTTCTCATGCAAGAAGCCATCATCACCGTGAAGGGCGTCAGCCTCAGCAGCTACCTTGAAGGCTTGATGGCCAACACCATCTCCTCGAATGCCAGCAAAGGCCGAGAAGTAGTGGAATGGGTAATTCATAAATTAAATGCTGAGATTGAAGAACTGGCGGCCTCAACACGAGGAAGCATTAGGACCCCGATTGCGGCTGCAGCGTTTGTGGAGAAATAACAACTGGCCGCAGCAGCCTGTAACCCAGGTGCCAGCAAGTTGGCATTGTCTTTATTTGATATTTTTATTTTTTGATTTTTTTAAAGAACAAGATTGTGGCATGTTTAATATAAGCCTTTGTATATACAATGTTTCCACTTTTGAACTTTGAAAAACATTAGTGACTGGCATCGGTTCAGTACTCTCTGTGCCAATTGTTGTCCTTGCAAATGTGTTAATAGGCCCTAATATCACCCAATAATTATAGATGAACTAAGTGAAGCAGAGACAGTTAAATATCTCACCTAAGATCACACAGACAATAAATTAATCAGTTATTTAAATTAAAATTCTATTTTACTCAGAGACCTCATACTAAACTTTGCCTTTTCTTGTTTTTCTGGGACCAAACTGACATGTGGGATTATACTTTCATAAAACATTCTTGGAAATATAAATGTATAAAACAGAACAATATTGGGGCCAGAGAGATAGTACAGAGCTTGCCTTGCATAGGGCAAACTGTGCTGGAACCGTGGCCTCACATATAATTTTTTTTTTATTTATATATTGAATCACTGTGGGAAAAGTTACAAAGCTTTCAGGTTTAAGTCTCAATCATGCAATGATCAAACACATTTCTCTTCACCAGTACTTATTTTTCACCACCAAGAACCCCAATATATCCCCCGTCCTACCCTTCCCAATGCCTGTGAGGTAGATGAGTTCTACTTAACACTCTACTTTGATTACATTCATTTTTTCGACAAAAGATGCACCATTATTGTTTAGAGTTTAGACCCAACAATCAGAACTGCTGAAAAGGCATTGCGAAATAATTTGTTTTCTACAGCTGGTTATGAGAACCATATGATGTCGTGTGGCCGCAATAGTGGCCACGCAATTTTGGATTTCTGATATTTTACTTATTAAGCCTGGAGGTATTTCTGCCAAGAGCCAGATAATTACGAGACTGGATTCTGTGGCTCTAGAGCCATGGCCGTGCCAGAGAGCCGCTCATGGGGGGCAACTTGTGACCTCGGTAGGGTGTGAAGGACGAGCCAGGAATGTCCCCCTTCCCATGAGGTTTCAGTTGCCCCGTCACCGCTGGTTCATACCTGGCTTTCCAAAAGGCTCCGAGGTAGCTGCCATATTGCTGCCCAGGGGGAAAGAGGCGGAAGGGAGCAACACCCCTTCTCTCCTGGGCAGGCATGGTACCGTGGATTAAGGCATAGTCCATTCACTTTTCTGCCGCAAGCTTCCGGGCTCTGCATTAAATCCTTGTGCTTCTGAAGCCATGGCTGTGCCTGAGAGCCTCTCGTGGGGGGCAACTTGTGACCTTGGTAGGGCGTGAAGGACGAGTTATTTGCTATTTTTAAAAGACAACTATATTCTAGTTTTTTTAAAAAGAAGTTTCTAACAAGTTGAAGAAAATTTACGTGACTTTTGATCAATATAAAGAGGTGTGGGGCTTCTAAATAAAAAGGGATTGTCCAAAATTAGTGCTGTTGAAATTACCACTTGATTTTGAGGATTCCAAATGTTGCCGCGAAAATGGAAGTTTCTCCCAGGAACTCTGCCCGCTGCGGATCACCCTAAAACAAGGCAGAGCCACCGCCTAACACGTGTGTCCTGCTGCGGGAAGTGTCGGGAGCTTCTGCATGGCAGCTCATTTGAGATGGAGAAAATGTTTAGATTTCAAATATTTGTGTAAGATTTGCACTTCTGTTGATCACTGGAGAGCCAGGTTTTGATTTGGAACTTAAATGACATTGTTGGAGTGAAAATTATCACTGTGGTAATACATGACCCAAACAAAAAATAATATTTTATTGTATTCAAGAGTACTGTATTGATTTGCCAATTTTTTTGTAATTTAGTAAAAGGTATTTCCTTCCTTGGATTTGTACTTTATGATTTAATATGCTGTAGTGTGAGTTGGTTATGTTAACTGAAAAAATAAAGTCATTACCAGACTTTTTGTGGCAAAAAAATATAAAAAATTTGGCTAGTCACTTGAGAATAAAGATATGTTGAAAGTATAGAATACCAACAGTAAAAAGTAAAGCATGAATCACTGTATCACTGTATCACTGTCATTCCTTTCTTCGTCGACTTAATTGAGCGGGTGCCAGTAACGAGATTTTAGCAGCCTCTCCTTACTTGTCTTTCCCAACGATTGTAGGCCTTTTCAGGGTCAGGGAAATGAGACCAAAGCATGAATAAATGATGATATTTACTAAAGTAAACAATGCTGAGACCAAATATGATAACAATAGATAGATTTACATATAAAAGTTAAAGCAAAACAAATTAAAGTCATTGAGAAATGTATAGATTTTTTGATAAGTTGTCAGAAAAATTCTTCTGGAAGAATACAGATTGTAGACTTAATCTTTGACTTTTTTGAGGGGGTTACACCCAGTGGTGATCAGGCGATATTTTTGGCTCTGTGCTCACTCCTAAAGGGGCTGGGGATACCATATGTGGTGACAGGGATTGAACCAGGGTGATCCAGCCACACGCAAGGCTAATGGTTTAAAGCTCATATTATCTCTCTGGCCCCCATTCTTTGATTTTTAAACAAATTATCAAACATATATAATTTGGGGGCTGGAGCAATAGCACAGCTGGCAGAGCGTTTGCCTTGAATGTGGCCAACCCGGGTTTGATTCCCAGCATCCCATATGGTTCCCTGAGCACTACCTGGAGTAATTCCTGAGTGTGGAGCCAGGAGTATCCCCTGTGCATCGCCAGGTGTGACCCAAAAAACAAAACAAAACAAGCAAAACAAAAAACCCCTAAAATTTTAGAGTTTCATTTATTTATCACCATTATTTTGGTTTTGGGACCATATCTGATGGTACTCAGGGAACAATATCCAGTGGTTCTCAGAGGATCATGTGGCACTAAGCACTGAACCCAGAGGGCTTGCATGCACAGCATGTGCTCCAGCCCTTTGAGCTACCTCCTCTTCCCGCTACTAAGTTTTCAATGGCTGAGAAAATATTATTTTCAGAGTTGAGTTAATTTTTCATTACCACAAATACCAAATACTGTAAACCCGAAAAAGGGAAATAAAATGACTGACACCAATGAATAGAATTCAGAGGCCGGAAATAAATCCTCACAAATATAAATCGTTCACATATGACAAAGAGCATATATTTAAGAGCATTTAACGGTCACAGTCATGGTCCTCCCGTTATTCATTGTTTTGTTCGAGCAGCCCAGTAACGTCTCCATCGTGAAACTTGTTACTGTGTTTGGCATATCGACTATGTCATGGGGAGCTTGCCAGGCTTTGCTCTGCGGGTGAGATACTCTCGGTAGCTTGATGGCCGCTCTGAGAGGGGCGGAGAAATCAAACCCAGTCGGCTGGGCTGGCTGCACGCAAGGCAAACGCTCTACCGCTGTGCAAAGAGCATAAAATAGAGAAACAAAAGTACATTTCACAAGTGGTGCTGGAAAAATTGGGTACAACACATGAAAGACACTGTCATTAAAATAAAGCCATATACTGAATGGGAGAAAATGTTCACAAACAATACATCTAACAAAGTGATAATATCTAAGACACTTAGTATAGTCACTGGGCCAGGGGTGTGGCTCAGTGGTAAAGTATATGCTCCACATGTGTGAGGCCCTGGGTTCAATCTCCAGCACCAAAAAGCAAAGAAAGAACACATAAATTTCAACAATAAGATGAGCAACCCCATAGAAATGGGATGAAGATCTAAAAAGACACTTTAGCAAAGAAGACATATAGGTGGTCAACGGACAGGTGAAAAAATGCTCATTATCACTGATTATCTGAGAAATGCAAATCAAAGCTACAAGGAGCTAAAACTTCACACCTATGAGAATGCTCTATATTCAAAAAGAGCAGAAACAAGTGCTGGAGGAAGTGTGGAGGATTTGGAGTCCTCATAAATTTTGTGGAAACATAAATTGATTCAGCCTGGAATGAAGACTATAACAGAGATGTCTCAGAAAATTCAAAATAGAACTACCATGTAGCTCAGCAATTTCACTCAAAGAAAAGGAAAGCACCAGTTCTAAGGGAGGCCAGAGAGATTAGTACAAGGGTTAGGACACTTGCCTTATACACAGCCAACCCCAGTTCAATCTCTGGCATTGCATATAATCTCTTGAGCATCACCAGGAGTAAATCCTTGATAACAGAACCAGGAGTAAGCCCTGAGAACCACTGATGTAACCCAAACATCTCTCTCAAAATATATAGGCACACCTATACTCATTGCAATGTTATTTACAGATGCCAAGATCAGGAAATGTCATAAATACGCAATGACAGATGGGTGACTAAAGAAACGCTGGCATCCACAATGGAATACTATTCAGATATTAAAAATGTTGAAATCATATATTTTTATACAAAATTTGTGGAACTTTATGGTGTCATGCTAAGTGAAATAAGTCAGAGGAAAATTTCACCAGTATTTGATATACTTTTAGATTCATTCATCTTGCTTTGAAAATTATACTCTATAGAAATAGTTTGTAGAAGTAACAGTAATACACATGCACACATATAAAAGGCTGATCATAGCACTGTTATTTATAACTTGTTTTGTTTGGGACCACACCTGGTGGTGTGTTGGATAACATTGGGTTGTCCTTGCTCCTCCCACAGGGAGCTTAAGGTTTATTGAGCTAGTCCCACAATAGTGCCCCTGAAGCACACCCAATTCCATCAAGTACTAATAATCTTATATTGCTTTCCTCTTTCCTTTATGCAATTTGCATGGTTTATTTAACAATGTCCTTTTTGTATAGGTGCAGGAAGACAGTTCATGCTACGCTTTGCAACATGGGAGTTAATTGACTCCAAAATAACATTTGCTCCTGGGCATCCATATTTACTTGACTTAAGCCTCAGTTGCCCTTAGTTCATAGCACCCCCAAAGCAGGGTCCCAATGAGGGACTGGATGGACCCAGAGCAAGCTGTGAGCTACACTGGCATTGAAATGGGCCAGGCCAAGGACCATAACATTTAACTATAAGATCACAA